GAGGTAACTATGGGGAGGAAGTGGGAGGGGAGCTGTTGCATTGTAAATTTTGGTCAATGATATGAGACAAAGTATATTACGTGAACTGCTGTATGAAAAGTGAATTTACGCTGTAAAGCTTCACCCAAATCAAAATAAAATTTAAAATTTAAAAAAAAAATGTGCAAAGGACAAAACAGCTATTTACCGAAATATTAGAATGAGTTGCCTCTCAGCAGAGGTTCAAGTTCATCCAGAGCTGCCTCAGAAGCCAAGTCAGGCAGTCGACTGCTGAAAATCCACCTCTGAAAACCCCGACACACATGGGGTCACCATGAGATGGAACTGACTGGATGGCAATTGTTTATTTATTTATTTTTTAATGATAAATAGTAACCAGTAATTCCACAAACAGGTAGTTAAATGGATAGCTTATTTCAAAAGGATACAGTAAGTTTTAGTCCTGTCAAAGTTCAGAATTTCAAATCTATTCCTTAATTAACTAAGACCAATTATAACACAATCTTACCATTTCAGTAATGAACTCTATGACAAGGTCTTCAAGAATATCCACTGACTCAGTATATGGGTTCTGGTCATCTCCAAACCCATACATCATACATCGTACTACAAAAGAACAAATCACTTTCATTTATTGGATAGATTTACCAATTTTTTTAACACATACTTTTTTAAAATAAATAGAACTGAACCAAGTTATAGATGATGTGAGTATAAAAACATATTTACATTGTATTCATTGTCTCTAAGTATGGATTTTGATATAAAGAGTTTTAACCACAGTCTTATAACCAACTGTTCCTACCTGACCTCCAACGTGGTACTTTCAATTGCCTCATATGCATGCAAAAGCTGAACAATGAAGACCAAAGAAGAATTGAACATTTGAACTGTGGGGTTAGCAAAGAATATTGAATACATCATGGATTGCCCAAAGAACAAATCTGTTTTGGAGAAAGGTGGTGAGAATTTGTCTTGCTTACTTTGGACAAGTTATCAGGAGAGACCAATTCCTGCAGGAGGACATCATACTTGGTAAAGGATAGGGCAGTTAAAAAAGAGGAAGATCCTCAACAAGTTGGAATGACACAGTGGTGGCAACAATGGGCTCAAACATACCTACTATCCTACTATTGTGAGGATGATACAGGGCTGGGCAACATTTCATTCTATTATACACTGGGTTGCTATGAGTCAGATCCAACTAGATGCCTGTGATGGTTATGTTTGTATGTCAACTTGGCCAGGCCTGGTTGAGTGGCTGGGCAGCTGGATGGAGTATTCCCCATGATGAGACTGGTAATCAACTCCATGGTGGAATCTACTGGGAGCAGCTGAAGCTGCCTTTGAGTAAGTGGTCTGCTTCCTGTATATAAGGAGAAGCTTTGAGAATGGTCACTAGCCTTTGGCACGCTTGGACCCTGCATGTAGCCATGTCATTGCTCAGCAGCGTGTTATGCTCTGCTGACCTTGGGACTTAACAATGGACTTAAGTTAATGGCCTGCCGTGTGGTTTGGTAACATCAGGACTGTGCCTTTTTACTTGTTAACCTTGGGGCTTCTCAGCCTCAGCAGCCAGCTGCTGTCTAAGTGAAGAAACGCCTCTAGGTCCAGTGGGCCGGGACCAGGAGGCAGAGCTGGACCCCAAGGTTGAGGGGCTTTCACCCAGCCCCTAGAGCCTGGCACTTTGCACTTGGAATTAAAGCCTCCAAATTGTAATAAATTCCCGTTTATTAAGGCCATCCCATTTGTGGTGTATTGTCAGAGTGGCACTAGGTAACCAGAACAATGGCACTTAATGAAAACCTCCAACAAAACCTTCCTTTTCTCCCAGCATCCCCAGAACATCTTTAAGTAGGAGACTCTGGCAGGGACAGGCTGAGCAGCAATGGTTTACCATTTATGGGAGTTTTCTGTGTGTGCATGGCTGTTAGGCACCAGTCCTATGTGAACACCTTGATGGATTTTATGTGTGTACATATATACACTGTAACCAGCACTCAGATCAAGATACAAAACGTTTCCAACATTATGATGGCATTTATCAACATCTTTTGATTTACATACCCCTTTGAGAATCTGATAAAAGTTATGACTCTTCTTTCTAGAAAAATGCACATATAACAGATAAGGTATAAAATTCAGGACATGAGAGAAAGTGCTTTGATCGCTTTCTTATAGGAAGAAACAGGGTAGTTAAAGAGAGATAGCAAAGAGCTTACTACAAAGAATCTTGACATTTCATTTCCTAGATCAATGCAACTGCCACCAAAGAAAGCCCTTTCAGGTCTCATCTGAAGGAAGTATACTAACCAAAAACAAAACCAAACGAAGCCATCGAGTCAATTCTGACTCACAGTGACCCCCTTTGGGTTTCTGAGGCAGTAAATCTTTATGGAAGTAGATTGCCCAGCCTTGAAGAAGTATAGACAATGCGATACAGAAGAATAATGTAATACAAAGTAATAACTGCTAACAGCTGATACTTATATGTTGTTTTTGTTGGGTGTCATTGAATCAATTTCAACTCATAGCAACCCCATGTGACAAAGAACTGCCCCGTAGGATTTTCTTACTGTAATCTTAATGGAAGCAGATCTCCAAGTCTTTGTCCCACAGCATCACTAGAAGGGTTCAAACTGCCAAGTTTTTGGTTGGAAGCAGAGTGCTTAATCATTGTATCACCTCAATACTTATATGCCAGTAACTGTTTTAAAGCCCTTCACATATATCTCATTTAATCCTCACAACAATTCTTTAAGGTAGGTACTATTATGATCCTCATTTTATAGAAAAAATTAAGGCACAGAGAGTTAATGACTGACCCACGGTCACACCACTAGTAAGTGATGGAACCTGAATTTGAAACCAGCTGGTCTGGCCCCAGAGCCTATACTCCTACTCACAGCAATATTATACTTCTTGGTAATTTAGGAAAGATGAGATCTAGTTTGCATTCTTATCCTATAGTCTATAAACTCCTAGTTTGTCCACAGATGGTCTTTGAGAAGTCCTTGAACCCTCCTGAAATTGTACACAAAATTTTATACTTTATCTGTTATATGTGCATTTTTCTAGAAAGAAGAATCATAACTTTTATCAGATTCTCAAAGGGGTACGTTGATCAAAAGATGTTAATAAATGCTGTCATAATGTTGGAACGTTTTGATCCGAGTGCTAGTTACAGTATATACATGTACACACATAAAATTCATCAAGGTGTTCACATGAGACTTGAATAATTTATTGCATGTAAGTTTTACATTAAAAAAAAAAGAAAGAAAGGAACTCCTGAAAAATGTCTAAAGAAAGGAATAAGCATATTAAGAATAATTCCTATTTAGGAGAAGCAACACTGGTAGTAATGAAAACAGAAGCAAGTAGACCAGCCATGGGGAAGAAAAAGAGTGACCTGGAAGCCAGCCTAAGATAGATAAATAAGTATCCCTAGGATTTACATTGGGAGCTCTGGTAACATAGTGCCTAAGGCACTTGACTGCTAACCAGAAGGCTGGCGTTTCAAACCCACCAGCCACTCCTCGGAAGGAAGGCTGGGCAATCTACTTCTGTAGTGATACTGCCTTGGCAACCCAAGGAGGGGTCGTTATGAGTCGGGTCCAACTCGACAGCACGTAACAACAATAGGATTTACCCTGGCAAGGGCCTTTGGAAGACACAGGAGGGATAAGAGAAACACAGAGGCATTATTTCTCTGTCCTTTTTAGACTCTCAATTTTTTTTGTTACCCTCCCTCAACTTTTGAGATAACTTAAGACTTACAGAAACACTTCAAAAATGGTACAGAGCTACCATATATATATATATATATATATGGACATTCCATATATCCAGCTTCTCTTTACATTAACATGTTACATAACCAAAAACTTTAAAAAAAATAAGAAATTAAACTTGGGATAATGCAAGTAAAAGGGAAGAACCTGCTTGGCATTTCTCAAGCTGAGAGAACTGAAGAAAAAATCCAAGCCTTGAGTTGAAACACTAAAGGATTCTATGGGCAAAACAGTGAATGACACAGGAAGCATCAAAAGAAGGTGGAAGGAATACACAGAGTCACCGTACCAAAAAGAACTGGTTAATGTTCAACCATTTCAGGAGACAGCATATGATCAAGAACTGATGGTACTGAAGGAAGAAGTCTAAGCTGCGCTGAAGGCATTGGCAAAAAACAAGGCCCCAGGAAATGACAGAATACCCACTGAGATGTTTCAACAGAAAGATGCAGCCCTGGAGGTGCTCACTTGTCTATGCCAAGATATTTGGAAGACAGTTACCTGGCCAACCAAATGGAAAAGATCCATATTCATGTCCATTCCAAAGAAAAGTGATCCAATAGAATGCAGAAATTATCAAACAACATCATTAATATCACATGCAAGTAAAGTGCTGCTGAAGAAAATTCAAAAATGGTTGCAGGTGTATATTGACAGGGAACTGCCAGAATCAAGCTGAATTCAGGAGAGGATGTGAAATGAGGGATATAATTGCTGATATCACATAGATCTTGGCTGAAAGCAAAGAATACTAGAAAGATGCTTATGTGTGTTTTATTGACTATGCAAAGACATTTGACTGTGTGGATCATAAAAATTATAGCTAACGTTGCAAAGAATGGGCATTCCAGAACACTTAATTAATTAATTGTGTTTATGAGGAACCTGTACACAGACCAAGAAGCAGTCATTTCAACAGAAGAGGATACTATATTGCTGAATATCAGGAAAAGTATGTGTCAAGGTTGTATTCTTTCACATACTTATTCAATCTGTATACTAAACAAATAAAATGAGAAGCTGGCTATGTGAACAATGGAGCATCAGGACTGGAGAAAGACTCATTAATAACGTGCAATATGCAGATGACACAACCTTGCTTGCTGAAAGCAAAGAGGACTTGAAGCACTTACTGATGAAGATCAAAGCTACAGCCATCAGTATGGATTACACCTCTACATAAAGAAAATAAAAATCCTTACAAGTGAACCAATAAAAATATCATGATAAACACAGAAAAGATTTAAGTTGTCAAAGATTTCATTTTATTTTTATCTACAACCAATGCCCATAGAAGCAGCAACCAAGAAATCAAATGCATTGCACTGGCCAATCTGCTGCAAAAGATCTCTTTAAAGTGCTAAAAGGCAAAGACATCACTTTGAAGATTAAAGCATGCCTGACCCAAGCCATGGTATTTTCGATTGCCTCATGTGCATACAAAAGCTGGACAATGGATAAGGAAGACAAAAGAATTGAAGCCTTTGAATTATGGTGTTGGTGGAGAATACTGAATATACCATGGAATGCCAGAAGAACAAACAAATGTCTTGGAAGGAGTACAGCGTGAATGCTCCTTAGAAGCAAGGATGGTGAGATGTCATCTCTCGTATTTGGATGTTATCAGGAAAGGCCAGTCCCTAGAGAAGGATATCATGCTTGGTAGAGGGTCAATAAAAAAGACAAAAACTCTCAAAGAAATGGCATGACACAGTGGCTGCAACAATGGGCTCCAACATACCAATGACTGTGATGATGATGCAGGTCTGGGCAGTATTTTGTTCTGTTTTACATAGAGTCCCTAAGAGTTGGAACCAACCTGACAGCACCTAACAACACACAGTACGAGTACAGAAGTCATTCAGACATCAGGTTTTTCATTAATATCCTTCTTCTGTTCCAGGATCCAGCGCAGGATCCCACACTACATTTAACTGTCATGCCGCCTTAGTTTCTCCTCATCTATGACAGTTCCTTAGTTTCTTCTTGTCTTTAATGACCTTGACCCCTTTGAAGAATACTGGGTTTGTCTGATGCTTTCTCATAAGATTAAGGTTATGCATGACTAAGGAGGTTACTTGCCATTCTCAATGTGTCACATAGCATCAGTGTATATTACTGGTGATGTTAACTTTGATTAATCAGTTAAAGTGGTGTTTGCCAGGATTCTCCCCCGTAAATATACTATTTTTCCATAACTGTTTGGAGGGAGATAATTTCTCATTCTCATTTTGATGGGTAGGATTCACCAGTAGAAAAATATATTTCACTGGAAAAGGGTAACTTATACAAGAATTATGTAAACTGTATTTGGTTATAAGGTCTGTAAAGACATAAACAAATTCCAATGAATGCTTTGAAACATTTTATGCTATATTAAAATTTTTACATAGAGAGTTTAGAAGAACAGGTCTTGATCAGTGAGATATATGAAGACCCAGGTAAGACAAGAAGGCTATGAAGATTCCAAATTCTTGTTATCACAAAAATAAGGTAATACAAGTGGAACAAAGATCTCTGCTAAGAATTGATTGACCAAGCATCACTCCAGAATACTCGTTGTAGGGACACCCTTCTTATACTGACTTAAAAGTAATTAAAACCATACACAAGTGGAGTAAACAGCATCAGACACGGAACAAGGAGTGGTCAGGAAAGCTGTTTTAGGATAGGAACTGAGATACAGAGAGGATTTACGTGGTTAAAAGAAAAAAGGCACATTGACCCTGTGTCTTAATTATCTCATGCTGCTGTAACAGAAATACCACAAGTGGATGCCTTTAACAGATCAATTTGTTCTCTCACAGTTCAGAGGTGAGAAGTCCAAATTCTCCTAGGGCGCCAGCTCTAGAAGACTTTCTCTGTCAGCTCTGGGGAAAGGTCCTTGTCTCAACATCTGTGGTCTTGGTGTCTCCTGGAGATCTCCACGTGTCTTGGCATCAATCTTTCCCTGGGTTCACAGCACAGGGACCCTAGGTCCCAAGGATATGCTCTACTCCTTGCTTCTTTCTTGGTGGTACTGAGGTTCCTTGATCTATGCTCCTTTGTTTAATCTCTTATATCTCAAAAGAAACTGACTCAACAAAAAATCTAATCCTATAGATTATATCCTGCCTCATTAACATAACTGCCTCTAATCCTGCCTCACTAATATAATGCTATTGTTGTTGTTATTTACCATCGCATAGAGACCCCTCCTTGGGTTTCCGAGGCACTATCACTATGGAAGTAGACTGCCCAACCTTCCTTCCAAGGAATGGCTGGTGGGTTTGAACTTGACTGGTTAGCTACCAGAGCTCCTATTAACATCATAGAGGTTAGGATTTACAACACATAGGATAATGACATCAGACCACAAAGTGGGGAAGGTGGAGGATAATTACATAATACGGAGAATCATGGCCTAGCCAAGTTGACACATATTTTGGGGGGGACACAATTCAATTCATAACACACTGTGATTTCAAAAGCATTTGGGAACTGCTCATGTCTGACAAAGCATAAATACATCAGCTTTCATAAATCTCATTTGTCACTATGAATATCATTGCTATATTTAAAGGACCCTGGACTGGGGGATGGAGAGCACATACTCCTGGTGCCTTTGGTCAGCGGGTCAGCCTGGATGATCAGCAGTTACGACAGCTCTCATTTCCTGCTGCTACTGACAAAAAGGATCAAACCTGTCTACTGAGGGAGTAGGATAAAGGGCCAACACATTTCACCCGTGACACTGTAATGCCTCACAGTGTTCACCCACTCTTCTGCCTTGTGCACTACCTCAGTCCAAATCCCTAACTTTGTTCCTATTCTCAAGCACATGTTCCAGAATCTTTCATTACCTGTGACTTACAGTCAAAGGAGTTCTTGCTCCTACTGCTGCAAAAGGGAAGGACAGGAAAAGTAACAGAAATATGTTTTTATGCTCTGAATTGAAACACGGTCACATTTCCTCACTTAAAAAAAAAAAAATCATAACCTTGAGTCAGGTACTATTTACAATTTAAAAGTTAAACAGAATTTTATAGGCAAGTCTGAACATATTTTTCCTACAGGGAAACACATTCAGAACAATAAATCTACTTTGATGAATAGATATGTCCAAAAATTTGTATAATCTATAACAAAATCACTGTCAAATGCAACTTACATTCTTTAGAAAAAAGTCTCTTTCTTTTGCCCTGTCCACCTTCTGCACCTCCTCCAATTTCTTCATTTTCTTCCTCAAACTAGAAGTTAAAATATATATATTGAAATGTCAAATGACTGCTTTGCATTTGATTTTTTAATGATTAACATATTTTTTTCTTTCTCCATTATCAACACTGATTTCAGATTAGAAAGCCTAAAGCAAGTAGCAACAAATCATGAAACTTCAGCATTGAAAGGGCCTTAAAGACTGGCTAGTTTAACTTCTGACTCATGAGAAATGCTTTCTACATTGTCCCTAACAAATAATCCTACTGGCTCTCCTGGAAAAGTTCCAATAACTGTAACTTATTATTATTCTCTCTTTCAAACCAACTAAGTTGACTTATTGCTAGACAGTGTTATTGTGAAAAGAGTTGTTATCAAATCAAAGTCTACCTCACGGTAGTAAGCAATACTACAATAAACATAGTGCAAGAAGTTTTACTTAAGTATGCCTTAACCCCGTTTTACAACAAGGAAACCGAGGCTCAAGGTTAATAACTCGCTTTAGAGAACAGAGATTTTGAAATCCAAGTTCTCTGGATACTGGTAGATAATTCTTCCACTAGTTTACAAGAAGTATACAGCTCTGTTAGCAGTTGGATTGTTGGTTCATAATGAGCGCTAACAAATAATGGCTTTAAACTCTGATGATTCTCTAGACGTTCCAAAGGATGTCTGGAAGATATGAACTAAAATCAAAGGAAAAGGGCCATCTTCGTACTGTTCCTTCATGTTTTGCCCCACGTACTAAAATGACGAATCCTGAGAGGCAGGCAAGACGCGAGGTCCCTGCACTTTCGTAGGTGAATTCACTAAGGAAAACAGATTCGATTCTGAATTCAGCCTCGAGGGCCGATGCTACTGAACCTGAAGGAGTGAAGAAAAGCGAGGGTTGGAACAGAAGTGGTCACTCACGGTGGGATCTTCTTCTTCATCTGCCATCCCACCAGTCGGCCAGCCTACAAGATCTTGCCGGCTTGCTCTTTATGGATTTTACTACTTCCGCCTCCTCACTTCCTGTGACGTTATGGGGCGGGGCCTAGTCGGCCTGCTGCAGACTAGGGTAGTAAGCTGTGTGTCCTGGGGCCAAAGTAGCACAACCCTCTAAGGAAAACGGGTCGCGATCTTTCATTCCAAAAGATGAATTAATAATTAGCAGAGAAAAGGAGTTCATGGGCTAGGTGACATGTATTTCTTTATCACCTTAAATTTGCTTCTACGTATTTAATTACTGCTGTCTTGATTGGGAACTGAGAAACTGTGGGGGCGATTCCACCTCCCAGACTGAGAGGATTTAAAATTTTGTGGGGGAGATTTTGGTTGTAAAAAGAATCCCTGACGGTAAAATGGTATAACCATTGTGGAAAGCAGTATGGCAATTCCTTCAAAAGTTGGAATTAGAAATACCATTTGACCCAGCCATTCCATTACTAGGTATATACCCTAAAGAAGTGAGAGCCATGACAAGAACAGATATATGCACACCCATGTTCATCACAGCACTATTTACAATAGCCAAAAGATGGAAACAACCTAGGTGTCCATCAGCTGAGGAATGGATAACCAAACTATGGTACATACACACAATGGAATACTATGCAACACTAAAGAATAACGTAGAATCTGCAAAACACCACATAATGTGGATGAACTTGGAGGACATTATGCTGAGTGAAATAAGTCAATCACAAAAGGACAAATATTGGATTAGTCTGCTATTGTAAAAGTCAAAGAAAGGTTTATCTATGGAAGGAAATTTTCTTTGTTGGTTACCAGGGGTGGGAGGGGAGAGGAGGGAACGCTGTTAGATAGATAGAGATAAGTGTTGATATGGGTGATGAGAAGGGCAATGTACTAACTATGAGTGACCAATATGGTGGCATTGAGGAAGAGAAAGACAGAGGAAGGTACATGGGAGGTAGAGACAACAAAGATTAATCCTTTTGCACATACAGTATTGCATTGTCAGTGAAGGCAAACATGGGTATAAGGGGGTGGATAGATGGGTGGACAGGCTGAACTATTAGGTATGTCTATGAAGTGGGAAGTATACCCAAGAACATGTATAGGGTTGACAGACAATGGCCCTATAAGTTTATGTGAATGATCAGAATTCCCAGGTGTATAGTAGAGCTGACAAGGGGCAAAGTTGTGGTCACTGCTTGGTCACAGCCAGCTACCCAGAGGGACCGAGTAGTTGAACCTGTGGGCTTGCGACCATAGTCGCAGGGGACATCAAGCTCAATTGGCATAACATACCATACAAAACATTGTTCCACCTCCTACTTTGGCGAGTAGCAACTGGGATCTTAAAAGCTAGCAAGCTGCCATCTAGATGCAACAATGGGTCTCTCCTCATCCAGAGCAAAGAAAAATGAAGAAAACCAAAAAGTCAAGGAAACAATTAGTCCTAGCGACTGGTGCACCATCCGACCTGCAGCCTATATGACTATGAGACCAGAAGAACTAGATGGTGCCCAGCTACCACTGCCATCCACTTGGAAGGGGATCTATGTAGGAGATCCTTGACAGAGAGGGAGAACAATGTGGACAAAACTCAAAGTCATTTGGAGAAAAAAAAAGTGGGGGGGGACCAGGTTTGCTGGTTCGATAGAGCCTGGTGGAACCACTGAGACTATGGCCCCTAGCTGCCCTTCAGGTCTGGAATTGAACCCACATCTGTGGTTTCTAGCCAAACAAAAGACAAGCATATGAGTTGAACATTTACCTGAGGTAGATAACACTCCTTGGAGAGAACAATCATGGGAAAAAGAAGGACTGCTTATGCACAGGGAGACAGTTCAGGAGGCAGGAGCGCATGGAGGGATGGACACAGGGAAGAGGTAACTATGGGGAGGAAGTGGGAGGGGAGCTGTTGCATTGTGGTAAATTGTGGTCAATGTCATGAGACAAAGTGTATGTAAACTGCTGTACATGTAAAATTTCACCCAAATCACAATAAAAAAAAAAAAAAAAAAAAAGGAACCCTGGTGACACAGTGGTTAAGCGCTCGTCTGTTAACCGAAAGGTTGGCGATTTGAACCACCAGCCCTGCGGGAGAAAGATGTGGCAGTCTGCTTCCATAATGATTGATAGCCTGCAAACGCTATGAAGCAGTTCTGCTCTGTCTTGTAGGATCACTAGAAGTCAGACTAGAATGCACTGCAATGAGTTTTGGCCTTTTTGGTCACAACAATTATTAGGAAACCCAAGGGCATGAGAGGTTTAAAGCTAGGGCTTCAAGATGTCCTGCAATGAGATAGATGATGCCAAATGATGAAAAATTGTTCCATAATGCACATGATTTCTGAATGTCCTATTGAACACTCATTCATGTGCGTGAAAAAAAAAAAAAAAAGTAATTCTCAGCCTAGAACCTAGCTCTCATGGCATAGTGGGTAAGGCAGTTGGCTGCTTACCGAAAGGTCAGCGGTTCAAAATCCACCAGCTGCTCCAGGGGAGGAAGATGAGGCAATCTACTATAAAAATTACAGCCTTGGAAACCTACTGGGGGTTGCTATGAGTCGGAATCAACTTGATGACAGTGGGTTTGGGTTTTTGGGGGTATGAAAACCTAGCTTTTAGCTAACATATAAATAGTTATTTCCCTACACTTTTCATATACATTAAATTTTCTAGGATTGCAAACACAAACACTGCAATGCACTGCTGTCCAGTCAGATCTGACTCATAGCGACCCCTCCTTGGGTTTTTCCGAGGCAGTATCCCTACAGAAGTACATTGCCCAACCTTCCGTTCCAGGAGCGGCTGGTGGGTTTGAACCACCGCCTTCTGGTTAGCAGTCAAATGCCTTAGGCACTACGCCACCAGAGCTCCTCTAGGAATGCAAGTACTCTGAAACTGGTTGGGTATTGTGCTTTGTTTTGTTTGGAATTTCTCAAGTTTTGTGAACTATTCAGGAAATAATGTTAACAAAGACACCATCATTTATAATACTTTGAGTAGCCAATACTCACCTGAATCAGTCTGCGTTGTTAGGTTTTGTATTTAAAGTGTTTCTACATGTAAGTGCAAGCATCTCAAATCTTCATCATACCCACTAGTGTAGTCATGCCTAAGCATTTACATATTGAAAAGTATTATGTTAGTATAAATTATTGTATTTAACATTTTTTTTTTTAAGTTAGGGCATATATTTAAATTGTGTGGGTAGGTAAGTGTATTGGTTATTTATTGCTGTGTAACAAATTACCCCAAAATTTAGTGACTTAAAACAATAAACACATATCACACAGTTTCTGAGGATTAGGAATCTGGGTGGGTACAGTTTATCTGGGTCCCTCTGACTCAAGGTCACATATGCTACAGTCAATCTGCCCATCTGAAGGGCAGATGGAAGAGGATCCACTTCCAAACTCACTCATGTGGTTGTCAGCAGGATTCTGTTTCTTTAGCATAAAAGGGCCTTAGTTCATTGCCTGTTTGTTGGATGCTCCCTCAGTTCCTTGTCACATGGTGTTCTCCCTAGGACAATTCACAATGTGGCAGCTCATTTTTCTCAGAGAAAAACGAGCAAGAGAACCAGGGAGAATAAAAGAAGATAAAATATTTTTGTAACCTAATCTCAGAAATGATATTCTGTCAATTTTGTCATATTCCATTCACTAGAAGGGAGTCAAGTAAATCCAGTACAGGTATCCTCTGCTTTTTGAAAGTTCAATTTATGTCAATTTTACCAAAGACCTTGTTTTGGTTACTTCATACAGCTCTAACAGAAAGATACCACAAATGGGGGACTTTAATAAACAGGAGTTTATTCTATTACAGTTTTAGCGTCTAGAAGTCCAACTTCAAAGTGCCAGACTCTAGGGGCTGAATAAAAGTCCCTCAAGTTGGGGCTTCAGCTCTGCTGCTTGCTCCCAGCCCACTGAAGCTGGAGCCTTTTTTCATTCAGGCAGCTGCTGGCTATTGAGGCTTGCAAACCCAAAGTTGACAAGTAAAAAGACACAGTCCCAATATTACCAAACCACACAGCAGGCCATTGATTCAAGTCCATTAAGAGTCCCAAAACTGGCAAACACTGCCACTACTAGGAAGGAAGGTTGGGCAATCCTACTTCCGTAGTGATACTGCCTCGGAAACCCAAGGAGGGCTCACTATGAGTCAGGTTTGACTCGATGGCACATAACAACAACAACAACATGGCAGGCTGCTGAACAACTCAGCTACATGCAAGGTTCAAGCATGCCAAAAGCTGTAAACCTTCCTCAAAGTTGCTTCTTACATACTAGAAGTAGACCACATCCCTAAAGCAACTACTCAGCTGCTCCAATAGATTCCACCATGGAGTTAATTACCAGTGTCACCATGGAGAATAACTATATCCAGCTGCCCAGTCACTCAACCAGGCCTAGCCAAATTGACACACAAATTTAATTACCATAATTCCATCCCTTGTCAACTTGGCACCTGTACAGATCTTCAATGGGTGGCATCTGTACAGATCTCCTTCATTGGGTGGTTCCAGTCCCCTAGTTCCTCTGAGTGCTGATCTCATCCCCTTGGCCTGGCGGGCCCCATTCCTCTACCTTTTGGGCATGGCAGCCCTGCCTCCTAACCCTTGGGCAGCAGCTGTGGCCCCATCCCACTGGCCCACATGAATGAGCAGCCCACACTCCGGAACCAAGTTGGTGAAAGTCTGACTCTTTGAAATCTAGAAGGCTGTGGTGGTTCTACCCCCAAAGGCCATGGTCCCACCCTTTGAATCTGAGCCTTCTGGTGGGCTCTTTTCTCCTGCTGACAAAAAATTGCTCAGAGAGACAGATAGATTTTAAAAGCAAGCCTTTAATGAAATACTACAGTGGAGGTCAGCCAGGTAGGAGGAGGCACACTACCTGAGCTGAGTTCTTTCGTCTACACACAGTAGATTATAGGGGATAGGGGACAAAATGCAGAAGTTGCACAAGCAGCAAATTAGGGGCTTGGGCCTCAAGGTGGGCTTCTCTTCTGGTTTTG